TTTCTTACTGCCTCCTTTGTTTCAAATTACCTTGTCTCAGAACTTAGGTCTTGAAGTGGTCTCAGCCTGAGCAAAGCCAAACTCTTCCTCATGGCCAAATAAACAGATGTCTTTGTTCTTGATGATAATATGTTGCAGTACGTCACCAGGACACCAGGTAGCACTGTGGTTTTTTGGAGACAGCAAGCACAGCCAGTAACGTCTATGGTCCTCATTCCAAACTTAGTTGCCTTCAGTGATAGGCTGATTGTTTCCTCAGCATTCAGACCCTGCCAGGTTGGGATCTTAAAGCTCACAAGAATCCTGAAAGGACAGGACTCACAGTGCCCCCTGACTCCAGTTCCCCTGAGATGCAGGAGTCCCTCAGCCTGTCCCAAAAGTGGAGTTCTGATCCCAGCAGGTGGAATTAAGATGACTGTGCTTTAGACCCTTTTTAAGACCTTCTCACAATCTTCCCACAGTGGTAACTACCTGTCTGAGACCTTCTTAGTATGGCTGCCTCACCAGCCACCAAACCTATGACAAATCCACTCCAACTGCCATTCAAATCTGGTTGCTATATACTGTTTGAGTCCACCTTACTCCTCTAAGCTTTCCACTCAAAGCACAGCTTCTCCCAACAACTGAAAACTCCAGAAAGGCTTCCTACTGTCCTGGACCTCCAAGGGGGGTGGGGGGGCAGGGGGGAGGTGGTGTGTAGCTGATCCCAGCTGGTTGCAATCACTCGCCTAATTCATCAGATTTCCACCACTCTGGATACATACTATATCCAGCTCACCACCTCCTCACTGTGCTCCCTGAGCTATGATTCTGGGTAAGGTCCCACGCCAGGTATGGCTGGGTTCTCTCCTTTTCCCCTGGACATCTCAAAATTATAGAACATCTACATTGTCACAGAAAGTTATTGGGCTGTGCTGATCTAGAATATAAAAAGAACTCTTCCAACTCAGTAATAAAATGAAGAACATGGAAGTGCTGGAGCCATCTCGTACTGTTTTGAGAGAGTTGAATTTTGTCGAATTTTCAGAAATTCTGCAAATTGGTTAATTATAACTATTTAGAAAACTGTATCAACAAAACAATCAAAGAAAATAAATATTGAAAAGAAAACATTCTTTTCTAATCATTTACCATATTTTACATTATGTATGCTTTTGTTGTTGCTTGTATCTGTTGTAACTGGTGGAAATATTATTTGGTGGTATGCTATTGCACATCTCTTCCCAAAGTAGCATTAGCAGCTTGATTTTGGACAGTGTAGAATCAGTCAATGCTGTGAACCAGAGCTTGATTTATTAAGCTCAGTTGATGGTTTAAATTTAGTAATGGAGAAAATGTTAATAGAACTTAAACTTAAAAGTGTGTCACATCGGTGTCTTTACATTATGAATAGCACAAACATTTAAGGAAATACTCTTCTAGTATCTGAAAATGATTACCCAATTCAGAAAAGTCGCTCCTGAAGTTTCAACTTGTCTTTGTTGTTTCAATTACATCTTACTCATTGATGCAAATGAAAATGTCAATTGGCATTCACTTACAAACTATATTTAGAGAACCTGTTATCAAACATTTACCAGTATACCAATACAAATAGTCCAATAAAAATATGAGCAAAATATTTGGACACTTCCTCAAAGAAGATAGACAAATAGAAAATAAACACATGAAAAGATGGTCAACATTGCAAATTAAAGCATAGTGAGATATCATTACGCGCTCTCTAGAATGTTTTTCTATTAAAAAAATAACAAATGTTAACAAGGGTGTCGAGCAACTGGAACTCATATACTGTTGGTGGAAATATAAAGTGATACAACCATTTTGGAAACAGATGGGCAGCTTCTTAAAAAAGCAGTTATGGGCCTGGCACCCATAGCTCAGTGATAGGGCACTAGCCACATACACCGGGTCTGGCGGGTTCAAACCTGACCCAGGCCTGCAAATAACAATGACAACTACAACAAAAATATAGCTAGGCATTGCTGTGGGCTTCTGGAGTCCTAACTACTTGGGATGCTGAGGCAAGAGAATCCCTTAAGCCCAAGAGTTGGAGGTTGCTGTGAGCTGCAATGCCACGGCACTGTACCGAGGGTGACAAAATAAAACTCTGTCTCAAAAAAAATTTTTTTAAAAATTTGTTTAAAAAGTAGTTATGCAACCTATCATACAAGCCAATAATTCAAAAGTTCACTTGCTTATTTTTAATTAGCTTGTTTACTTTTTTGAGACAGGATCTCACTCTGTTGCCCAGGCTAAAGGGCCATGGTGTCAGCCTAGCTCATAGTAATCTTAAATTCCTGAGTTCAGGCTCGGCGTCTGTAGCTCAACCGGCTAAGGCGCCAGCCACGTACACCTAAGGTGGCGGGTTCGAATCCCCAGCCTGGACCCGCCAAACAACAATGACGGCTGCAACCAAAAAATGGCCGGGCGTTGTGGCGGGCGCCTGTGGTCCCAGCTGCTTGGGAGGCAGAAGCAGGAGACTCACTTGAGCCCAGGAGTTGGAGGTTGCTGTGAGCTGTAGTGCCACAGCACTCTACCCAGGGGGACAGCTTGAGGCTCTGTCTCAAAAAAAAAAAAAATTCCTGGGTTCAAGTGATCCTCCTGCCTCAGCCTCCCAAGTACCTGAGACTACAAGCACCAGCCTTGTTTTTTCTTTTTTATTAAAGAAATATATGCACACAGGAAAAAGAACCAACTTTATTGGTTTGTATTTTTCCCAAAATTGTTTTATTTCATGTTGACCTGCTAAAAGAAATATTTACAAAACATGCATAAGGAAAAAAGAATACTGATACAGTGAAATTCTGCATCCTCCATCATGTTAAAGAAAGAACAAAGGCCGGGTACAGTGGCTCATGCTTGTAATCCCAGCATTCTGGGAGGTCAACGCGGGTGGATTGCTTGAGCTTAAGAGGTCTAAACCAACCTGAGCTACAGCAAGACCTGGTAGAGACTTGGGTCTCCACTAAAAATAAAAAACTAGGCTTGGAGCTCATAGCACAGTGATTACAGTGCTGATTACAGCACCAGCCATGTGCACTGAGGCTGGAGGGTTTAAGCCTGGCCTGGGCCAGCTAAATAGCAACAACTGCAACAAGAAAATAGCTGGGCATTGTGGTGGATGCCTGTAGTTCCAGTTACTTGAGAGGCTGAGGCAGGAGAATTGCTTGAGCCTAGGAGTTGGAGGTTGCTGTGAGCCGTGACACCATGAGACTGTACCAAGGGCGACATAGCGAGACTCAGTCTCAAAAAAAAGAAAAGAAAAGAAAAAACTAGCTGGGTGTGGTGGCAAGTGCCTGTTGTCCCAGCTAGTCAGGAGGCGGAGGCAAGGGGATCACTTGAAATTAGCAAAAGTTTGAGGTTGCTGTGAGCTCTGACACCATAGCACTCTACCCAGGATGATAAAATGAGACTGTCTCAAAAAAAAAAAAAAAAAAGGAAGGGAGGCCAAGGCATAAGGATTGCTTAAGGCCAGGAATTTGAGACCAGCCTGAGTAACATAGATCCCATCTCTACCAAAAAAGGAAAAAAAAAATTAAGAAAGAACATAACCATAACTTTGAAGTCCTCCTCCTGGTCCTACCCATTCCTCCCCCTCTCTCCCCTCTGAGAAGTACCCATCCTGCAGATTATGTTGTTTCCTTGCTTTTCCTCATGGTTTTACCATGTATCTTTATAGCTCTAACTAGTATTTGTTTAGATTTGCATAATTCTTAATTTTACATAAATGAAATTTGCTGTATTTTTCTCGTGACTTTTTCTTCTCAGCATTATGAGATTTATCTGTTTTGTTCTGTATAACTAGAACGCATTCATTTTCATGGCTGTAAGTACTTCATTGGATGCCACAGTCTTTCTGTTCTACTGTTGATAGGCCACTGAAATCTCCAGCTTTTTACTATGATGAATACTCCCATGAAGATTCTTATACATATTCCTGGTATACATGTGTAAGAGTTTTGCTGAAATAAATTCCTAGGAGTAGAAGAGTGACTCATAGTGTACACCCACCTTCGAGTTTACTAGATTATTATTTCCAAATTGGTTATACCACTTTGCACTGCCAACTGCAATTTTTAAGATGTGTATTTGCTCCACGTCTTTGTCAAATTTAACATCCATGCCAATATAAAAAATCCATGTAAAAAATTTTAAAATGAAATTTTTCTCTCAACAATTCCACTCCACAGATAGGTGGTTTGAATTCTGTAAGTTTTTCTACAGGTGTCCCAACATTTGTGTGTGTGTATGTACATATACACATACTTACCGTCATTATTTTAATAACAATGGGGTTGTATTATATCCACTATTAGGCAACTTGTTTTTTCATTCATTATTCTATGCTGAACATTCAGGAAATATAAATTTACTGTCATTCACTCTGCCTATATTTGTTGAGCATTACCATGCACCAGATACTGTTCTAGGCACTTGGGATACACTCACGAACAAAGTAGCCAAAGATCCTTGTCCTCATGGATCTTACATGTTAGCAGGAAGAAATAGAAGATAAACAGTGAACACCATAAAGAAATGAATGATATAGTGAAAGGTATTACGTGCTGTGGAAAAAAGAAAACGTAGGGGAGGGACGGGGGGATTGAGGGAGGGTGGGTAGGGTGTCCCACCTCAATCTGTTTTTAACAGCAGCATAGTATTTCTCACCTATCCATTTGTTCCTCCTGAGGCTGACAACACGCCAGCTGCTGGGGACTCAACTGTGACCGTGTAGGCAAGGTTTCTCCTCTAATGGAACTTACTGTCTGATAGGAGACAGTTAAACATACACAAATGAACACAATAATTGTAGGTGGTGTTTAAATACTATGAGAAAAAAAGAAATTAATTGTGGAGCTAGGTGGAGAGGGGTACTTAATCTAAATTAGTGACAAATAAATGCCTCTTTGAGAAGGTGACATTTAGGCTGTCAATTAAATGATAAGACAGAAGCAGTCCTGAAAAACTAATGTTTCTAATCCCCTCTTCATTAGTAGGATCTGCAGTCAAGAAGAAGTAGTGATCCCTTATGCTTCTGACAATGATTCAGGAAGTGTGGATTTGCAGCCGAGCAACTTGGAGGATATTAAAAAAGACCCAAGTAACATCGAACTTACAGGTAAAAGGACTAAAAAGGGGGTGGGGAGAAATCCCTTTTCAAGTCAAGCCAAGAGGTCTTGATTGAGTATTTGCTGGGTGAACAGCCCTTGACTAGATTTTGACAATGAAATTGGTACCTGACTTTGAGATTTTGGAATACAGCTGGCAGGATAATATATGTTAGTCTAGATAAACAGAAAATGAGCTTGGCCCTGAGACAGACAATCTTGTAGATTCTGCAGAAGAGTCAGCGTGCTTGGGGTATTATTCTGAGAAGGGAAAGGGAGGCATGGGTTGGTGTAGAGGGGAAAGACTTCATGCAGAAGGCGGGGTCTGGATTGAGCTGTAAAATAACTGTCATTCATTCTGCAAACATGTATTGAAAAGCAAGTGCTGGGCATTATCAGTGAACATAGCCAACATGGTCCCTGCCATGATGTTCACAGAAGTTACATCATCATATAGAGAAGAAACCAACAAAGTAAGCAGGCCAGGCACAGTGGCTCACACATGCAGTCCTAATATTCTGGCAGGCTGTCGTCGCAGAATCTGTTGAGGCCAGAAGTTCAAGACCAGCCTGAGCACAAGTGAGACCCCATCTCTACCAAAAATAGAAAAAATTAGCTGAAAGAGGTGGCTGAGGCTATAGGATCACTTGAGCCCAGGAGTTTGAGGTTACAAAGAGCAATGATGATGCCCCAGCACTCTATCGGGGGTGACAGAGCAAGACTCTGTCTCAGGAAAAAAAAAAAAAAAGGCGAGCGGACGGTAACTAAGGTAACTGCAAGTTGTACTAAGCATTGTGGAAGAATTAAACAAGAGGCTGAGACCAAAAATAAGGGAGATGAGAACCTACTTAAAACTGTGAACATCAGAGAACATCTGTATGAGGCAGTACTATTTAATCCTGAAGGAGGTCTCAAGGATGAAAAATTATCCCATGTGAGCAAAGGGACAAGCATTCCAGACAGATGGAACAGTGTGTGCATGAGACAGGAAAGCCTTATGTGCCTGAGAAATTCCATTCATTCATCCATACATTAATTCAGCAAATACTTCTTAAAGTCCTGCTGTGCTCTAAGTTTAATCTAATTGCTGGAGATATAGCAGTGAACAGAACAAACACAGCATACTTGTAGATAAATAGACAATTGGAACTAGATATAATCTCTGAGATGGGGAGAGGGACCAGAGTGGATACAGAGAGGTTTATTAGTGACTAGAAGAATACTTAGCTAAAATGAGCAGAAGAGGGGATACAGGGGCTCGGTGCCTATAACTCAGTGCCTAGGGCGCCAGCCACATACACAGGAGCTGGCGGGTTTGAACCCAGCCCGGGCCTGCCAAACAACAATGACAATGACAACTACAGCAACAAAATAGTCGAGTGGCGGGCGCCTGTAGTCCCAGCTACTTGGGAGGCTGAGGCAAGAGAAACATTTAAGCCCAAGAGTTTGAGGTTGCTGTGAGCT